GTAAAGAAACAAATAGTAAACCTTAACAAGTAACCTTAAACAACACGCAGGAATTAATGTTTTACGTTCTCACTTCAGCTTTGATTGCTTTAATAAGGCTCCAACTGATTCATTAATTCGGCTGAGATTGGCTTTAATTAAGACTAATCATTACAGCTTTTCGTTGAGGAAAATTTGTATGGATTTTAACCAGACTCGTGCAACTTTGCAAAACCCGTTGTTAGATGAAATGATCAAAGGGAAATACAAGTAAAATCAACACATTTCAGTTTATTCGACTTTTTTTTTGTTGCGTAATAAAGTAGGGCGGGATGTATTATTAGGAGTCGGGAAGCGGTGAATCAGATAAACGGATGATACATGTTACTGGTGATAAACAGCGCAATAAGTTCAGGTGAGCCAACCGTCGCCAGATGTCAGTAGATCTTTCCAGGATCACTTTCACTTTACCGGGCTGCTTTGAGAGGCGAGGAGCAGCCATAGCACCGTGTGTGTGTGTGTGTGTGTGTGTGTGTGTGTGTGTGTGTATATATATATATATATATATATATATATATATATATATATACTATAGAGCGAGATTGTTGATGTCACTTATTGCGCTAAAAACACTGAAGTGCGTCATGATAATTCACATTTTATTTGTGTATCCTGAGTTAGAAATAATGTGTTATTTCTTAGACAAATCGTCTCTTCCCTTGAATTTTAACCTATTTCCTGTTTCATCCCCTCCTTCCTCCTGTCGCTATCCTCAGGGACCCAGAGCTTCACTTGGATGTGTCTGGTGTGATGGGAACCTTTTCCACACGTTAACTGAGAGGAGGGGGGATCGATGCTGTGGTGGCTCACCCCTTTGAATCCTGCACAGCTCTCCCAGTGATGGCTCGTCTCTTCATGGTCTGACACCAATGAGTAAGCCCTCCAGTTGAATACATAAGAAACGGAGTGCCACCAGCAGGAAATCAAAACAATCGGTACAAAATCGGTTTGGGAAAATAAAATGTTTCTTTCTTTCTCTGTTTGTTTAGGAGGAAGGGGGGGGGACTGAGAGGCCCATTTTTTAAAACATATTCTCTCACTCATATACAATCACCTCAGGTTGCTCTCAACAAACCCAGGTATTCACATGTCTCCAATATGTAGCCTACAAGATGTCCATTAAATGCACGTTGTTGCGAAATAAAGAATTGTTGTTTATATCAAAATAAAACGAGGTTGTGTGTTTTATTTATTCACAATATCTCATAACAAGGCATATGCATCAGCTGTGTCCTGTCAGAGCCATTCATCTCCGCAATGTCAGCCTCTCCTGGAGCTAAGAAAAAACGTTCTGACAAATTTGAAATTGGAGACACATTGATTTCACTACAGAAGAAAAAAAAGGAAGACCTTGATGACCTCGATCAGGCTGTTTGTGGAGTGTTTTACTGCTCCAGGAAACACTTCATGTCATTCAATTAAACCCAGTTGTGGAATCTCAAGTACTGTACTTAAGTACAATGTGAGGTACTTGTACTGGACTTTAGTATTTCCATTTCATCTAATCCATTCTAAGAAATATATCGTACTTTTTACTCCACTACATTTATTGAACATCCGTAGACTTGTGAATTTATTAAGATTTTTCATACAAAACATATGACCACTTTTTAAATTTTGAATCATTTGTTCCCTTAAAAAAATCTTCTTATACTCCTATAACTCATTTCCAATCTTGTTTCTTAGATTTGAAAATAGTCTGCCTGCAGTTAACTGCAGTATTTTCCAAAAATCGAGTTTCATTTTTCATGAAATGCGCCTTATACTTCCTTGTTTAAATGTGTTCATTTTAGAACTTTTAGGACTCAAATAAAGGCAGATATGCACTCAAAGAGATTGAACTTCCCAACAGGACTATATGAAGTATAATTAAGAGTAGCTGCACCTCAACCAGTTGCAACAGTAAAATGCTCCTTGCACATGAATCCACCAGTAATAGTAATCCAACAATAGAGTCCTTATATAAAACGATGACACTGGTCGTTCTACAGCACTATGACTGTTGATACTTAAAGACAATTAGCTTAATGCAGGACTTTAACTTGTATTGGAGGTTTTTTTTTGCATTGTTGTATACTTTTACATCCCCATTCTTCCTCCACCACTGTTTGAATCACGAAACCCCATTTAAATTCCCAGATATCTTTGTCATCGTCATCCACATTCTTAAAGCAATAAACACGAGCACCGGCATCAACTGTGTTGCAACTCGTCACCAGATGTCGTTGTTGGTCACACAAAGAAATTAAGAAATTAAAAGAAAACGACATCCATTGTGAAAGAGACACAGATACGTTCTTTTGAATCGCAGTTACGTCTAACATTTATTTAAATGAGGTTAAAGTCAGATGAATGGCTGCCTGCGCTGTGGGTTTATATTGGGGTTGGAGGGCGGGAGGCAGATAGGATTTAGTGACTGCTGGCAGATGGCCGTCTTAGAATAAGAGACAAGCCGAGGAGACATTCTGCTGTTGGAAATAAATAAATTAAGGGTTCTGTGGTCGCAGGTTTGACGTGTTTTCTTTTTTTAAATAAACGCTCTAATGTTGCTGGAGCCGAGCACGACCAGATCGTGACTCCTTTGAAGTGTCACCGTGTGCGCAAGTCGGGTGTGTGCAGCCTCCTGCGTGTCATGTGGGCTCATTGTTTACATGCTGTCGAGATTTCACACAGAGGGCGTGTGTGTCCCAGATTACGGTCCGTGCATTTACGAGCGTATTCATTGAAAACATGTTGCTGTTTTATTTTTTGTTTTGTTTTTTTACTCGGAGAGAGAATATCGTGGCCGTGATTGTGTGTCACGAGTTGAGTATAGACCCATTTCAGCACCATGGCCAGCTCCACGACGAGAACAAAAGGCGGATTTGCATCGCTTGATGTCAGGGACCGTCTGCTTTTTAACCGTCCATAGGAAAAACGAAGAATTAGATAAATCCCTCAGATAACCCCCCCACCTCCTGCCTTCTTTACAGATCTATCTTTTAAAAATCTTTTAGCCACATTTGATTACCTTATATCTAACATTACCTGACATATAGTGTATTTTTGCTGTATGCCTCCGTCCAAAGTGCCTTTAAGCTTGATTTTAGTCTGCATGTTTGTGTTTCAGACGGTGGTAGTCATGTAACACTCTTGCAGTGGATCCGATCTCTGGTCACTGAACATTACAGACTTAAGATAAGATATCACCTAGAAACTAGTTGGCCTTTCATGGGTCCACCTCAGACAATGTCTTTCTGTGTGGAGTTTGCATATTCTTTTGTTGTTTGCATTTTCAAATTAATTGCTTATAAACACATAAAGTATTAATTAGATGTTACGATTAGCCGTCCACAAAAGTGAAACAAGGTATGAAGGTGGTGCACCCTGTTAGCTCACTGGATAGAGCACGAACTACCAAAGCTGAGTCTTAGAAAAGCGGCCCGAGTTTGAGTCCGGGCCTTTTGCTGCATGTCATTCCCTCTCATCCTGACTGTCACCATCAAATAAAGCAGAAATGCCCCAAAAAAGTATACAACAGCGTAGAAGTAAGAAGAGCAAGATGAACCAAAAGATATTTTCCCTACAGCAATCACTACAATTTGTCTTGGATATTGGGGTCCGACAAGTTAGGCTAATGACTCACATCCCCAGGTCTGATAAGACTGATATGCAGTTAGCCTTTTCTTAAGCAGAAATGTCAAAAATCACTAATCTTCTATAATATTAAATTGAATACCATTGATTGTCACAAATGGGTGCTGTCAAAAAGCCAGGACTGTAATACATATGACAGTCATGCAACAGGGATAACAAGATAATATGAAAATTAGGTAACGCTTTAGAATTCAGCCAGCAACGTACAGCATCATTCTGCAGATTTACAGTGTAATTTCATTTCAGTTTACAGTAGCAATTGGGAAAAAGTTAGGAAATGAGGGGGTAACAATCACCATGTGTGTACATATGCATATATATATATATATATATATATATATATATATATATATATATATATATATATATAGGTATTTAGTCTTATAGTATAAGAGTAGAAATGCCTTTATTGATCACTAGAGGGAAAATGTGTTTTTTGCAGCTGCACAAGAACAGAAATAAGTATACATAGAGAAATGCAGCATTACCTACTGCATAACAATGGTGTTTTGGGGGAATTATTATAATATTTGTTTTGGATATTGGGCCATCAAAAGATATAGAAACAGTGCACAATCTCCAAATCCGCAAGAAGTCAGTAAGAACAAAAATTGACCTTAATGTGAAAAAGCTTTCATTTCAAATTGGCAAAAAAAAAAGCCCTAATGTACACAAGAACATCCAGCATCACATTTTGCAGCCATGACTGTGTTTTATGTGCTGTCTCTTTCGTTACCTCTTTCCAGCCTCTCCGCCGGTCACAGGGCTGGTAGTTTAGCGACGGTCCCTGGCGGCAGACATCACGGCTCGTACAGCCCAGGGGAGGAGGGATGGAGCTGAGATGGACAGGGAGGGAGACACCGGCTTACGACGTCAAAGGAGTACAGACACACACTGGGAGAGGGAGAGGAGAGGACAGCCAACCAGACTGCCAATTCCCCACAGTCTGCTGAAGGAAGCCTACATTCATCTACCACAATACTCTTCATTCAGCCTAGCTAGAGAGATAGAGAGACATTTCTTTATTTTTGTATCAGATTTATTTGAAAGGGAAAAATCACGGAGCATCTGTCAGGGGGGGGGGGGGGGGAAACAAAAAGCAGGTCTAGAAAAACACGCTCATGCCGAATAAAGGACCGTCGCCGGATGCTACTTGTGTTGTTATAGTGGAGGTACAGGCCTGACTTGTTACAGGATCCAAAGGCGCTCTTACAGACAAATGAACTGAATAATTTAAATTCAACAACTAAATAACAGCGGGGGGAAGAATAAGGCATCCACTCATCGCGCCGATTTTTTTGCCACGAACAGCACCACAGGTATGATTGTCTTCTCTTTTTTTTTACAACTCTTTGTTGTTCTGTGTTTTTTTGGGGGTGTTTTTTGGACAGAGGTGTAAAATCATGTTCGGGTCATTGTTGTCACCCATGTCTTGACAAAGAGAGCGCGGGTCTCCAGCTGTGTTGACACTGTCATGTTTCTGTATGAATATATAGGCGGCTTAGACCGAATACCAGTGCATTAAGGATTGTGTGTAGCCGACTATTATTTGATGGACTTTTAAAAATAATTTTGATGTCAGGCATTGATAATATATCTTAGCTCTGTAGCTATGAATCATGATTATTGATCCATAATGTTCATATAGCTGCCAATAATATGAACGTCATGAGATTATAATCTCATTTTCTGTGATTGATATGTTTTTAGTATTCTATGCAAATGATACACAACATGGTGGCCTCAGCTGCTGAAGTTATATTGAAAAATAAAAAGATGTGTAATTGCAAAGAATCCCCACTAAAATAAAATTGCATCACTCTCACTACTATCACTATTCCTATAGGATTCATAGTGCTTAGCGCTGACAATGTATCTGTGTCAACAGTGAACTTAGGTTATTTTGTAATATTTGTTATTTGTGATAATCATGTGTTTTATTGGGATATCTATGTTCAAAAATCTCAAAAAAATCTCCCACCAGATTACTACCATGTCTACCAGGGTGTAGATAGTATTTCTGCCTCCCATTCCCACTGAACACTCCCATCTGCACCTCCATCCCCGGCCTCCTGTTTGCACCTCCTGTGCAGTGTGAATTTAAGCCCGCAGGCTCCTGTCTGCTCCTCCTGATCGCCACCTCCAATCTGTGTGTGTGTGTGTGTGTGTGTGTGTTATTATTCCTCCCCAGACTTCTCAATGAAGGAGCCTGACGCAATCAAGCTCTTCATCGGGCAGATACCCCGAAACCTGGAGGAGAAGGACCTGAAGCCCATCTTCGAGCAGTTTGGCAAGATCTATGAGTTGACGGTGATAAAGGACAAATACACAGGGATGCACAAAGGTGAGGAACGTGTTGCCAACAACTCCCATTTGATAAGATGTTGTCTCAGGGAGCTCATATGGGGGAAATATTGTTAATTTAGTATTAGTTATGATGAGAGCGAGGCCTGTTAATCGTATATGTCCTAGCTCGGTTTTAATTCTCAGTAAATACCAGTAGTCCTCATTCAGCCATGGTCTCTCTGGAGCCTCTTTAAGAACCCATGTGAGGCCAAAACCTGATGTTTAACACTATTGATCTAAAAAAGAAAACTGATTCACAGTTGGTGATAAGTTTGAGTCGTCACTTGGACTGACTAAAATATTTAACATTTTTGACATTGATTGACTAAAGTATTGAAGAACCTTGAATAATGGTAATTGGTAATATCCTTTCTTTCATTTAGAGTCGTCCACATATCAGAGTGCTGTATCATATTTTCACAATGCCATACTTCTATTTTCAAGAGCAGTTTGAAGTTCAGTGTCCTGACTGAGGAGGAGGAGCCACTGCTTTCTGCCTTAGATTAATGTTTACTGTGCACTCACATTTTGGAGCTAACTAACTCTATAAAAACAATTGAAATGTGGAAACATTGTTGAGCACAGTGCAAAACACAAATGAAATGAGGATTGTGTTCATGAGACCCCCTGATGCATGCTGGGAGGTTTCCCTCCACGCCTACCTCTGGATGCTACATAAAAAAAAATGCAAGAAAAAAAGCGAAGAGATTTCAGGGTGTTGGTATTAAAAATGTTGCACAGCACGCTGCATTTTTTCAAATGTTCGCAACCAGAGAGCTAGCCGTCAAATCGATCTCACAAAAAGTATTTTGTCAGTTCATAATTGGACTCACATGGTGATGTCAGTCACTTTTTAAGAGTTAAGTGTCACCCACTACTAAGTAATGTCCCAGCACATTCAAAATCAAAATCCTGCTTGACAGATGGACTGGAGCTGGTCAACGTGATCTAAGCTAAACAATGATCCTTACTGTCATTTCTAATGCAAATCTGAGCACAGAAAACAAAGGCCTTTATAAATCCACATAAACCATCAACCGTTTGGGAGACGTATAGGCCAGGTGGTATCAGTCCTCTAACACCTATAACACCTATTCTGCATACATTTGCATATTCATGATTTGTGGGAGCCCTAAAGGTTAATGAAGGCCTTTCTCTATTATGCGGGACTGCATACATTTGGCCTTAGCAGCGTGATATTAAATACCCATTCAGAGTGTTTGTGTCTGAATAGTCTCCAGGCATTATGATTTAATAATCCCGTAGATCTCCAGTGCTGCTGTGAGAAGTATTTAGCAAAATGTTAGCTGTGCGTTGTTTTATTTGAATTCTTGTCACTGTTTCATGCCGACTTAAATACATTTTAAACATGACGGCCTGATTAAAGGCGGGAGGCATTTTTTCTTTCGAAATGTTTAACACATGCTGACCCAGACCAAAGCACATATATCAAATGGAAGGTTAATAACAGGACAATAAACTCCAGCAGCATGTTTCTGCCTACAGGCATTCAGGGGCAAATGGCCAATTAAGATTAAGTTACAATAACATTGCACTGCCGACTCCACACATTATGTGCAGCATATGAATCTGACATTAAAAATACATAGACTCATGGCTCTCTGATCTTCTAACACTTGTCTCCAGGATGTGCCTTCCTGACATATTGTGCTCGTGAGTCCGCCCTCAAAGCCCAGAATGCACTGCACGAGCAGAAGACACTACCAGGGGTGAGTGCGTATTTTTAAGATCCTTGCATCTAAATATATTTATATATACATATATATATATATATGTATATGTACGTATAGAGGGAGCAGATAAACTGAATGCACCACGCAGACACACAGTGACGCCAGAAAATTAACCGAGTTTGACATGCAGGCCTGACTTCCCCCTTTAGCTGATATGCTCCAATAAAGGTCAGAGGCTGCTCTCTCTCTCTTATGTTTCATATGTGATGCATCCAGACACATCCATCCAGTTAAGGCATGAGTCATCTTGCTACATGTCACGGGTCGAAAGAGACAGCTATGAGGCTCGCTGCTGGAGTGACTATTCCAGCTCTTATTCTCTCTGATGTTTCTCTTCCTTTCTGTGCCCCCCCCCCCCCCCCCCCCCCCCCCCCCCCCCCCCCCCCC